CCCAGTGACAGAGGCATGCCCCGGCATTGAGAAACTAACCTACTTCACTAACTGATGGAGAAAACTCCAAACATTTACTAACTAAAATTTAAAAAAAAAAAAGAACATACAACCAAATCAACTATATACACTGCAAAAAGCGTGAAAAAACCACTGGGAAAAGCTTGCTGAAACAAAGAGAACAGTTCCACTGCCCTGTCACAGGCAGTAAAAAGATACTGAGGGGGCATGGGGTTGCAGGGCCCTTTATCTTGGTAATATGAGTGCATGGCACCAGAGAGCACTAGAGCTTACCCAACAGATACCACTAAGGGAAAAATTTCTGGCAACTCTGCTCAGGGCGTGCACACACCTACATTGGAATGGACATGTGCAAGCACTCGAAGAACGATTTTTCTTTCTACACATTACAGACAGATGTTTAAGGAGGAGTTTGTCCTGTTCTCTAGTGAGATTAAGTGATCTGTAAGAGATACCCACCAGTATCCCAACTTTAGTTTTACTAGTTAGAACTTTAATACATAAGTACTCAAGGTACTATGATTCTGAATCATCTATGACTCTAACAGGTAATGGGTCTGATGTTGAGTGCCATTCTCGTTTTCCCATTCTCTCCTTACAGAACAGGTTGTAATTATCAATTTTAATGTTCTCGTTATTAGAGCCATCCCACCAAGTTTCAGTAATACCAAAAATGTCATATTTTTTTCTCATGAGTATCTTCAATTCTTCTTGTTTATTGTATAGGCACCAAGCATTAGCATATAAACAATTAAAAATCTGTTCCTTACATGCACCTTAGTGCTTGGATATGTTAATATGCGTGATGCCTTGAGGTTGGTTTTCTTATTCGGGTGTTTGTGTCATGATTGCCCCATTATCACTCTCTCCTTCTATGGTTTGTTTAAAGCCCTCCTGACAATCCTAGCTATTCCTATCACGCAGGAGATTAGTAGCATAATGCTGATAAGGAGGCCATGAGAATCATACAACCCCCTCTCTCCACAGTATCTGCTACAATGTTCCACAAAACTCCTCCACACACACACACATACCCTTGACCCCTATAAATCACCTATTTAGCCAGTTATTCAGTTTGGCAGTGCTAAGAGCTGCATAGTCATGCAATCTCCATACCAAATTAGAGCATTATCTGTGGTTTAATTCTCATTTTTAACACCATCAGATCAGCGCAAAGTGCTCTGCAAGAGAAATGGAATTCTGCAGTAACCCATAGTCTTTATTCTTAGAAATGTTTGTGTAGTGTGACAGCTGATTTATTTTATAATACCGCACAATGCCTTAAAGCTAATGGTATTATTAAAGCCCTGAGGCAGAGAAATAATTTTATTGTTTTTTCTTTCCTGTATCTGCCAACACTATAAAAGTGCCTTTTCTTCAAACTATCTCCTTGTTAACCCATGCAGTGCCACCATCTTGGCTGGGGAGGCAGAGGCTTGATTGGGGAGGAATGACTTGGAAGGAGAGAGATCAATAAGCCATGATAGGGGTGTGTGGAGCAGTACACAATAAGTTTAAGTGATGGTTGTGTGTTTATTTTTTAAAAAAGGACGGGGGCGGTGAAGAGTTTGTACACCCTCCCGCATGGCCACTATTTTGAGTAATTGATAGAGAAGGGGGGTTAAAAACCCAGGAGGCAGGGAGAGGGTAGACCAACATCTGGCAGCACCCTGATGACACCTGGCAGCACCCTGATGACACCTGGAACTAACTGGAAGTTGCACCCTCCACTGGTTGGATTTCTGCTGGTGATCCAAGTGCAACCTCTAGTTGTGTCTTGGACAGCTGCTCCTTGGTCTCTGGAGCAGCATCTGTCTCTTGGTCCACTGAGTCAACATCCAGTACTTCATTAACAATCTCCTAGTCTGCATCCTGTTTGCCATCAGTGGAGGTGTACTAAGTGGTGTCTATACAATTCAGTGATTGTTTGGTGGGATCTCTCACAAATACATGGTTCACTCATTGTAGCAGCTACAAGCTCTCCCAGTGGTCCTATTATTGTCCTTCACAGTCTTATAACAAGTGCTGGAGACCTAAAAAAAGAAGGGCTGGAATCCACTTCCAGTGCTATCAGTCATCAGTAACAGAATTAGAAGACATTTCTGGCATGCTGGAATGGTGTTCTGGGGCATTCTGGCATGACTTGAGGCCTGCTTATAATCCAGTTGGAGTACCTTCCCTTAATGCAGCACTTGCTTGGGTTCTGGTGGTGACCTACTCCATTTGTTTGGATAGCTTCTTGTATATTTGTGCATTGCAGTGGCTAGAATTCAGAGTGGTCTGTACGTGCTCCTCTCCCCAGAGGGCAATTAAGTCCTGGCCCTCAGCATAGGACTATACTGACACATGAGGCATGACTGCTTAATAATCAGGAGTATGACACAAGTATGTGAATTCCATGAACTGGAAATGCAAAGGACAGCACCTGGATGTGCACCAGCACTTAAAAAGAGAGGTGACATCCAGACAGGATGACCCTGGAACAATAGAGGGCACACAAGTAAGCAGAAAGGCTGATCCAGGTAGCTGGAATACCTCTGTGGGATACCAGTAGGAGGACTTATAAGATCACAACAGTTGCTTGGGATGGGGATGCATTCACACACACTTCTTTGCAGATAAACTCATCCCACAACTCAGCAAACCTGCTTCCAAAGTGGGTTTAATTACGTGAAATAACTCAAGTTAACCTGAAACAAATTTCAAGTGTAGAAAAGCTCAAATCCAGACTTCTCCCTATTGCACCTCGATGCTTTCTTCAATGCAACTGTTGGAATGATCTCCCTCTTCTTGTGCATGAAACTAAATCACTAAAATACTTCCGCAAAGTCTTTCAACAATAATCATTACAAAATTTATCAACATGACGCTTCTACCACCAACTGCTATATTATTTATGTTTCAACTGTTTAGCCACTACCTGATCTAGACTCAAATCAGAGCTTGGAAGTGATCTTAAGAGGTCATTTAGTCAATCTCCTTGCCCTGACACACTGATTGAGGCAAGATTAAGTATATGGTGACAATGCCTGACAAATTGTTATCTAATCTATTATTTAAAACCTTCAATGATGGGGAGTCTACAACCTCCCTAGGTAACCTGTTCCAGTGCTTAGCTATCTTTATAGTTAGAATGTTTTTCCTCACATCCAACCTGAATTTCCCTTGCTTCAGATTGATCTGATTACTACTTGTCCTATCCTTGGTGGACATGGAGAACAATTAATCTCTATCCTCTTGTAGGTACTGCTGCCCTGTCAGTTATTCCCCATTTTGTATTTGTGTACTTAATTTTCCTTGCTAAGTGTAGTACTCTGTACTTATCTTTACTGAATTTCATTTTATTGATTTCACATCAATTTTCCAGTATATCATTATTATTTTGAATTCTAATCCTGTCTTTCAAAGTGCTTGCAACCCCTCCCAGCTTGGCGTCCTCCACAAATTTTAAAAAAGTGTACTCTCCTCCATCATCCAAGTTGTTAATGAAAATATTGAACCGTACCGGATTCAGGACAGAACCCTGTGGGAACCTACCAGATAAGTCCTTCTAATTTGACAGCAAACCATTGATAACTCTACTCGAGTAGTGTTTTTCAATCAGCTGTGCACCCATCTTACAGTAATTTCAGCATACCATATTCCCCTAGTTTACTTATAAGAATGTCATGTGAGACTGGGTCAAAAGCCTTACTAAAGTCAGGATATATCACGCATATATCTCAGATGTTTATACAACATTAATACTTAGTCCTGCCATGAGTGCAGGGGACTGGACTAGATGACCCCTCGAGGTCTCTTCCAATCCTATGATTCTATGATTAAGCACATTGTCAGTACTCAATACAAAGTGGTTGCTTTGTCATAATTTTTGCTGTTATATAAAACTGTAAAAATATGTTTTTAATTAACTCTTCCCATGTAAGCAATAGCTTCCCTCAGTGGTTATCAAAAAAGAGAAGGCTAACTTTACGCTTCACAGATCAATAAGCGCTGTGGCTCTTAAGTTGGTCACACTGTTTTTCATGACCGTCCATCATCTTCACTAGCCACTAAAAGCAGGGACTTGACTGCGTTTTCAAAAGCAGCCTTTAAACACAAATTGCTATAGCCTCCTTTGTAAAGTAAGTCTTCCTTCTCAAATGTGTATTACTCAATACATCTGCTCTCTTTTCAAAATTCTGCTGTAGAATGGTGAAGAGGAGATATACAAGAGAAAATTACTTCCTGGACAATGTGTGTACTTTGCTGTAGTTTTCCTTATCTCCCCATCCAACTTCCAATCCTGCTGCCCATTTAGGATGGAGGACTACAGATTTTTAACTGTGGAAGTTTCTGGGCTAAACTAGAAGCTGCTGTACTGGTGATTTTATAATCACATTTGTCTGATAGGTTGTTTTGTTTGTTTATTTTGTTTGTAGTCTTCTTCCTCTTTAGTAAGTGGACACAACATTATCTGCCAGGAATTCTGTTATGTGACAGGGAAATCTTTGACAAACAATTTATCATTAAATAATTGTGTGTATTTTCACTCCTGGACAAAACAAGGAATGCAGATATGTACAAAATTTTGTTAAAGAGAGTTCATTAAATATATCAAACCTTAAAAACATTGATTTAAATCAATTAGCTCTCAGATTAATCAATTAGCTCTCAGATAACTGAATTTTAAATGTCTGTACACAGGGGTATTGCTGCAAAAATGGTACTGGAGTTATAGTAAACTCAATTTTGATAACTCTTATATCATGCCTTGTTTTGTGATTTTTATATATTTTACTATTTTGTATTAATTGTCCAATTAATATATCCATGCAGAATGCACTCTAAAAAGTAATAAAATTACACTAGTGCACTCAATCTAATATCCACCAAATAGGTCAGAACTGAACAAAGCAGATTTTACAAATTAACTGAATATCAGAGATGTTATTTTTAATATTTTCCTTCCCTCCCCAATATCAATAGGTGTGTTTTACCCAATGTTGTAACCAGCTTTTTCACCGTGGTAGAATTAATCATCAAAGTCATTAATGATGCTGTTACTGCATGCAGTAATATCTAAAACAGAAAAACAAAGAGAGCATGTCACCACTTCAAATCAGTGTTATCATCAGTAGTATAAAGTAAAATGCAAATTATTTTGAACAGTGAGGTACTCTACATATTTTCCATAAACAATGCCTTTGCTGACATCATCTTCAACAGTGCAACACAACTGTGTATCTTCAAATTGTGGATGTTTTTATTTATTCATAATTTTGCTAAATTTAACCATATGCTCTTCATGGCTGTCAGAATGTCCAAATAAGGAAAATTAAGTTAAAAGTAATTCCTTTTTATAATAATATTTTGAGTATTTAATAATGCCTTTCATTAGTATATCTCAAAGCACTTCACTTGTGAATGTATTTATCCTCACAACACCTCATGAATTAAGGAAGTATTATCATCCCCGTTGCATTGAGGGACTTGTCCAAAGTTACAGAGGAAGTCTGCGGTGGAGCAGGGAATCAAATCCAGATCTCCCAAGCCCCAGAGTAGTGCCCTAACCACTGGACAATACTACCTTTCTTTTGTACAGTTCTTTTTTTCCCATTCTACCAAGAGGAAGAAAGTATGAAGAGATAACCTTATAACCCCACTAGCAGGAAACAAGATTGTAAGATTAGTATATAAAAACACCAGGCCATCCATTTCTTTCTAGTAAGACTATTCAAGAGCAAAAGACAAGGAACAACCAGGTAGGTCAAAAAAAAACAAAAAACTCCCTCATCCCCACCCCTCAAAGAAAAACAACAACAAAACCCCCCCACACTCTCAAGTAGCACCCAGGACCAAGGAGGTGTAGGAGGGGACAAGACTACAACAAAAGGAATTACAAACAAGTAATTTGCCTTTGTTACACATCCCTCTTCTCCCATCTTACTAAGAGAGAGAAACAGAATGAACATATGATAGATGTAGTGAGCAGACCATCAGAGATTACCTTAAAATGTTACTTGTAGCTTAATTTACATGGTACATGTAAGCACATTCTGACCAACAGAAATGTTCTCTGAGGAGGAGAAATCTGGTAGTGACATATTGCAATCTGTAGATAGCCAAATAGCAACTATGCAGATGCCTTTAACCCTCCAAGGTATAGAAGAGTGACACTACATTAACTCGAGGATCAAGGGCTTAGCATGTCCTAACCAGTATCTTGGTAGCTGCTTTTTCTCATTGTCACCCTTGAAACAACAAAAAAACGTTTACCTCATTAAAACTGTGAATACAGGAGAGAGAAAACTTCAAAGCCCTTTTCACACACAAGGAATATTTTTTTGCTGAGGGAAGTCTAAGTCCAGGTACAAAGTGAAGCGAATAATGGTTTGATTCATGTGGAACTCAGGATTCACTCCAGACATAAACTTGTCAGGATCCGAAAAGTGACCATGACCCATTGAAATCCTGGGTGAAATCCTGACCCACTAAGTCCACATGTCTCCATGATGGTCATTCCTATCTTGAAAGAACTGAAGAGATGGACAGATAACTAGGAAGCGGTGTTCTTTAACCCTCAGAATGGAAATTAATGTCTTGACAAATGCCACCTTTAGAGAAAGCAATTCAATTTTTTATTTTCCCAATGTATCAGAAGAGAGCTCATTAAGCTTGTAAAACAAAGGACACATCCCATTGAAGGTGCATTGGTCAGTGCAAGTGCCCTTTTAAATTTGAAGAGGGGAACAAATATTTCAAATAGATCTGAGAACGTATTTCTTTCCTGGTGATAGGTCCACGGGTATCAGATACGTCTGAAGCATGGATTTGTAGGGTGTTAACTTTCCTGGAAAACTTCTAGCAAGAAATTCAAAATGATCTGAAGCAACATTTCATGTAAGCTGCACATAGGAGTGGATGCAGCACACAATCACAAAACCAGTAAAACAAAACTCCATAAACATTATTAGAAATGGAGTCAGGAGACTGGATTGATAGCTGTCCAACCCCAGTTTGCAGTTTGTTAGGCAAATCAATCAACCCTGGTGCCACAGTGAGAGGATACAATATAGATACTGTCCCCTATGGCACCAAGACTGGTCGGAGTCCTGATCAGTGGGATGTGGTGTGTTGATTTCAGTCTGCGAGTGTCTGATGGTTCTGCCTCGATTTACATATTGGCAAGATGGCAGTTATGCGGGATACGGCACTGAGGTGGGAACTTCTTTGGCTCCCTTTAACTCTGGTGATTCTCAGCCTCCCCAATCCTGGAGGGATAGCCCCTGCAAACTGGCCTGGTGTGCTTCAGTCATGGCTTTAATTTCAGAGATATCCTCTGACTTTTTCCTAAGCAGAATCTGCTCTTCAGATATTTGCTTTAGCATTTTATAGACTTGATCAAGGGTCCAGGCAGAGGGACCTCCTGTGCAAGTGGTGTCATGCTGCCCTGCATAGGGCTGTCAGAGAGCCTCTGCTTCCTTGTAGTTTGGGGTGGAGGGTGGTGGGAGAGTAAGGGAAGGAAAGGTGTTCCAAAAACAGATCCGTCTGCTACTAAGATGTTAAAGAGCAGGATGAACCACTTTGAGACAAAAACTGTGGCCTTAGAATAATAGCAGATGTCAGTGAATTTTAGTGGAGCGGAGCAGGAGCGCCAGATCTAGACAGCCATTTTCCCTGCTGGCTCCTAAATGTCCTCATCTCTGGGCTCTTAAGAAAGCCTCTCAGACATATGTAAACCATTGCCCATTGCCTAAAATCATATTTAGCCAACAAGGCATGATAATTGGCCTATAAAACTGCAAGAAAGCAGATAAATAAACTTTCCTCCCCAAAAGCTCCATCTTCTTAGGTCTTTTATCTCTTGGGGAACACCTAGAAAGCCCAGGCAACTTCAATTTTTCATGAGCCATTTTTAAAAACAGCAATCCAGGTACCAGATGTATAAAAAAGTACTCAAACGCCTTCGGAGGAACTTGGTACCCAAGATCTGCCCTCTAAGATAAGGCCAAGACAAGGCAGTAAGAGTCCACCACAAGTTTTTAGCAAGTTCAAGGATGTCTTCGTTAATAGGCATAGCTAATTGATCCTGGGATATCAGGTGCAAAAAAATCAAACAATTAATGATCTCTCTACTAGACAATTCCAAAGGAATGTCTAGTAGGTCCACCATCCTTTTAAGGAGGTCCTGAAGTAATCTACAGTTAACATATTTGATGGTGTCACAGCCTCATCAGGTGATACTGAGGATATGGGTAAAGGGGTAGGTTGGGCCTCATATTCCTCCACAAGGCCTTGCTGCTCATTCTGAGATTCCTGGTGATGCAGGTTCTTAAGAGTTCCTGACAGGATAACTGAGTGTCTCCAGCAGGATTCTTAGAAAGCAACAATTTCCCCCTGCAACTTGATTCAGCTGACTAAGGAGCCGATGGGAAAAGGTGAGGGTCAAATGGCCACATTTGTGCCCCATAAGATAAGGCATATGGTGCCATAAAAGGATGGGATCCATGGAACAAGACCTCTGTAAAGCATGAAATCTGAAGTAAGAAGAATTTCCATTGAGGTTGCCTAGATGAAGGCAAAAACTTCCTTGGAGAAGGACTCCTACTACCATACAGAGCTGAGGATACAGGTAAATAAAATTCCTCTAAAGGAAGAGCAGATCCCTGAGGTACAGAAACAGAGAGAGTTTCAGATCTTACATGAGAGTAAGCAATGATACCATCAATGCTGGAGGCAGAGATTTTCATTTTTGATATCTTAAATTCTGGTACCACCACAGTTCTAAATACAAGACAATAGAGAGACATCTAACAATGGAGGCTCCAGTTCCAGAATCATCAAAAGTTTCACAGGAGGGAATATAGGACAAAAATTTCAAAGTGAATACCTAAAGTCAGGCTCCTAACTCCAGAGATAACTAAATAACTGGCCTGATTTTTAGAGTGCCTAAATATGGATTTAGGATCCAACTTCAAGCATGCTTTTTTTTTTTTAAATCTTAGCCATAAGCACTTGTAACAAACACAGTTCCAGATAACAGTATCCCTAGCAGAAAATGTATTAGTTCACAAAGGCTCACATGATGCACCTGAGTCCACATAAAGTTCTAAGAGGGACAGCTAACTGTAGTAAAAATATTTCTGTGCTAATTACATAGGTATAGTGAAAGTATTGATGAAACAATATTGACCCATTGTATAGTATGTGAAAATTCGGATTATATATAAACATTTAAACAAACTAAACTGCAATGCATTTTTAAATACAAAAAGTAGCATCTACAGGCATATTTCTATTATGAATCAAAATTAGTCAGACCAGATTTTCAAAGTTAGCCACTCATAATTGCATGAATAGATTTGAATGTGCTAATTTTATGTACCTAAATAATCTGTGTGTACTTGTGCTGGTTATTTTATGCAAGGGTTACTCATATGCAAATATATTTGGCTGACTTACTTTGAAAAATCTGGTCCTGAATGTCATTATAGTTCTTTTATCACTTATTCCAACAAAATGTATCTAGTACAAGTTATGAACAAGTTTTGGGGAAAAAATGTAGATAGCCCTTTAAAAAATTTTTTCACCATGTTCTTCATTGCTGCTGTACCCGGATCTTTTGACTGGCTAATCCCAAGAGCCATAGTCAAAGTAAAAATACCCCTCATTCCACTCCAGACAATGACAGCTCCCCAGCACCAGTTAAATCCATAACCAAGGCGGCTCAGAAGAGGGCTCAAGAACAAAACAACTAGACCTCTGTGTAAATAAAAGAATAAGATAATGAGCAAAAATATCAATGCTCAGAGATAGAGACATAGAGCTGGGTGTCATCAGCATACTGAAAGCATTGCAGTCCAAACCTTTATACAAACCCTCCAACAATCCCATGCACATGTTGAACAGGAGGGAAGACAAAATGGAACACTAGAGAATTTCAAATAGTCCTTAGTGGGAGGAGCTATGATCCCACACCATCCAATGGGAACATTAAGCCGGGAAAGAAGAGCCACCCAAAAGCAACAGCATTCACTTTTGATGCAGTGTGCAAGTGAATCAATATTACCGCACGAACTATGGTATTGAAGGTAGCTGATGTAAGCAGAGTCAGAATGAGCTCTACCCTGACATCTGGTGGTGAGCTGTGAAAAAGGACTTCAGGGGCTGATCTCGTTTGCATGGGCACACCCACCCTGCCTAGCATGAAGGGACTGCCTGCCCAAATGGTCACTTTGGCTGCTGTGGGATCCCCAGTCTCTTTGTTATTGGGGCAGGAGTAATAAAGGGTTATTATCTTGGTTATGTGAATCAAGGACAGTAGAACTGTACTTGGCATTTTATGCTGGAGGGACTCGCCCTCAACTAAGTAGCACTTGCTAGGCAAGGGATATGGGTTCCAAAACCCAGTGAATTGAGAGAGGTGGGGAGCAGGTATTTGTACCTGGGAGTATGGGCCCCAAACACCACTTTGACCCCTCCTCTCTCCCCATGTAATAACAGAGCTAATTTTGACTCCATTAGGAGTCTTGTTACATGCTGCAGAGCTGAGATCACTAATACCTAGGTCTAAGCATTAGACCTACTTTGGGCTAGTGATGCACCAGCACTGATGCTCCCCTACTACCAGCTAAAATAACTGAGAGCTGAAGTCACTAAGAGCTGAGATCACTGAGAGCTGTGTTAAGTAGGGGGGAGGGCCTGAAGGCAAGTTGGTGAGCGGCTAGCAGGATGGCTAGCGGAGAGGTGCAGCTGGCAGTGAAGACTGCAGCAGAACCCCATGGAGAGGCCAGGCAATTGGCCATCAACCCGAGCAGCGGAGCATGTAAGATTCCCTCCATACCTCCCCCCACTTCCACCCAGGCTGGGAGGTAAACTCTGCAGATGAACTTCTGAATTCTGGGGGCTGCACTGACCAAGTACAGAAACTGTGGGAGGGGTGACTTTTGAGTTGCTGGACTTAAGACCCTGAGGGGGAAAGGACACCGCCAAACTTACTTGGAGGTGGGTCTTTTGCTCATGGTTTGTATTATGAATCCTGTTTGTGGTGTTTCCCCAACATAATGCCGCATTGTTTCCCTCCTTTATTAAAAGGCTTTTGTTACACTCAGACTCTGTGCTTGAGAGAGGGGAGTGGTATGTAATTGTCCCAGGTCACTGGGTGGGGGCTCGAGCCGATTTTGCATGGTGTTATTGAAACGGAACCCCTAGATATTGAACCCGGCCCTTGTTGCTGCCAACTCTGATGGGCAGAAGGGTTACACTGATAGATCTAATAATATTAGCATAGATACTTGATCTTCATTCACCACCAGGAGATCAAATCAACCAGTGACAATAGTGCATTTTCTGTCCCATAGCTAGGTCTGTACCTAGACTGCCAAGAGTCAAGTAGATCCAAGGCATTTAAGTACTATGAGACTGGTCTTACTGCAAACTTCTCTATAAATTTGATTGAGAATCGAATTTGGATACTGACTGATAGTCAGCCAGATTATCAGCGGTTTTTGTTGTACTATTGGTGGGTTTTTTTGTTTTTTTGTTTGACCAAAAAGTCCTACAGCAGCTACCTTCAGAGAAGCTGGCATCGTGTCCTTGTTATAAGGGAAATGCTGCCTTTCTCTGCTAACAATGGACCCTTCACCATCCAAGAACTACTCAGAGTCAAAGACATGATTTTGGAACAAAGTGCTCCCAAAATTGCTAGTTCCTTACAAGTCACAGACTAAACTCAGAGAAGATATAGCATTTGTCCCCTTCAGATTCCTTTCTGCAGCCATAGAAGCAGACAGTTCATTCCCAATCCATATGATTTTATCCACAAAATCTGATATTTTGTCCCAACAGACTCAACCACAGAATGATGGCAGCTTGAATTACTTAAACTGTCTAGCACACAATTTTACCATTCAAAATTTTGTAGAACTTCCTCTTTGCCTCTTATACAACCAGGCCATGAGAGTTCAAATATTCTCTATAAGGCAACTGATCAGACTCAGCCCATGATTTAGCAAAGGAATCCTGTTAACAAGGTTACCCTGCAAGCTCACAAAATGCTAAGCATTAATGTAATTCCAGCAATTACTGATAGAAGCTGAACTCATTGCTGTTAGTGTTAAATAAAATCTACAATAAACATAAAATTGTATTTCTGAAAGCACCCCAACATGCCAGTGCCTGCATAAACAAAGAAAATGCAACGCAGTTTAAAACATCATAAAACAGATAACTCAATATTTTTAAAGCAATATGTGCAATCATGATTTTAAAAAGGCAGGGGGATGGGGCAGAGCGTTGTCCTACATAGGGGCAAACAGTAGTCCTTACCTTATAAGATTCAATGCAAGATACAGTGTTAAGATATAAGGCAAATCATGAATAGTCACATGTGGAAAGGCTTTTACAGCTATCACAATTCCAATTATAATGAATATCATAACATGAGCCAAAAATGTCAGCGTTGACCAGAACCTATGTTAAAGAAAAGCACAGAGATAGATTATAAAAAACACAGCACTAGTCTTCATTTCAGAATAAACATTAATGTAATCCTCATATTGGTTGATTATTCCCAGACTACTGTAGTTGGAAGCTATTATCTGCTATTGCCTGCTATTATCAGGAACATATTGTTACAGTATATCACCAAGGGTCAAGAATTTAACAAGATGCAAAGAGGGATTGGCAGCCACACCCCTATGTTCACCCCTTTCATAGGACTATGATAAATTTTGTACCAAGTATGCCTTGTGAAGTATCATATGAAAAGTTACAATCTGCTGAACATTATTGTCTGAGTAAAACATGTATATCAGCATTGTATATTAATTTATAAATTCTACTATATGATTGTTACTGTAATATGCTATAATTCTGGATAATACCCATAAAACCAGTTTTTCAGAAACAAAGACACACTGGCCCCAGCCAGGTGTTAAAGCAGCCATTCACCAGCAGGCGGGAAGGTGTAAACAAGAAATGTACATTTCATCACAGGGATGGTTCATACCTCACATCGGCAACAGACTGCATGTTGCCTGCATCGCAGCTTGGGGTAATCCTCAAAGAGGGGAGAGTGGTATAAAAATGTGAGACAATGCCCTCCACTTCACCTTTTCTCCTCCCATCCCTTTGCTGATAACATAAATGAATACCTGGAGGACACTGAACTAAGGGGGAGGCATCCAAGGCTGCAAAGAGACCCAGCCTATGAAATTTACTACAGCTTATGGTCAGAAAACCCTTTTTCTTTTCAGCTTTTAAGTTCACTTAACCTGTTAAGTTGGGTATTAGTTTGCCTTTTTCTTTTCTTTTCTTTTCTTTTCTTTTCTTTTCTTTTCTATCCTGACTTTTATGCACAATAAATTTATCTTCTTGTTTTATCTAAACCTGTGTGTTTGGATTTAAGTGTTTGAGAACCATCACTTGGGATATCAAGATTTGTCCATATCATTTTCCTTAGATGAAATGACAGACTTTCTATGAGCTTGTATTGTTCAGGAGAGTACTGAAAAGTACAAAATGCACACTTCTGGGGGAAAGTCTGGGAGTGGGAATCTGCAGTTGTTCTTCTGCAGTGCAATTCATGAGTGGCTAGCTAGTAGCACTCAATGCTGTGTAGCTGGGAGCAAGTTACACTCTGAAGGCTGTGTGTTAATGGGCCAAGAGTAGCTGTTCACTAGTAAAGCAGTGTAAAAAGCGCCTCAGATTGGAGAACTGAGGAGACACAGCTATTCAGCATTCCAGATTGTACCCTTGGGAATGTCAAAGTCATTTATATGGAATACAATAATATCCAGATTTGTTATAGTAAATCTTTCAAAAACTTTTTTCTTTAATAATATAAAACCTCATACTTCATTATTTAAGCCAACTTCTAACTATTGGAGGTTAAGAGAGGACTTCTTCATGAGAGCAGATTATCACACATCTGCCTATTCTGGGGAATTTTGTACTTTCTTTACAGGCATCTGGAGCTTGCCACTTTAAGAGAATATGTTTTTAAGTATGGAAAGTCTGAAGAGTGTGCAGCATTGTGTTATTAGGACCATTCTGGACAAAAAAAGATCTGACATTGAAAGCTAAATTTCTCAAAATATCCATTTTAAAATTAATTTTAAACACACAATTAATTTGTAAATTTTCAGAAAATTGCTAACTAGTGTAAGTCTTGAAAGGATACACTGTCTTCTTCATACATAATAAGGAGGCTGTATAGCTGCTTTAAACACAAAACACAACCTTAACTAGGGAGTCAAATACAAATGGAAGTGATATGCATGAGACATATTATTCAGCCATGTGATAAACATACTCCTTTAACCATCTCACCTATGCTTTATCCACTAATACATCTCTTTGGGATTTAATGTTTCATTCCAAATCTGTGAGCGGCTTTAAACAGCCACCATATTTTATTCACACCATCCTACCACAAAAACGTTTCTCTCTCTTCCCCAAATGTGATCTCTTAGACTCAAAACTATCTTAAGTCCCAAGACTGACAAACTGACTCCTGAACCACTGAGAATTTTCAAGTCCTTTATATGGCATAGTGCAGTGGTTCTCAACCTTTCCAGCCTACTGTACCCCTTTCAGAAGTCTGATATGTCTTGTGTACCCCATGTTTCACCTCACTGAAAAACTACTTGCTTACAAAATCAGACCTAAAAATACAAGTGTCACAGCACACTATGACTGAAAAATTGCTTAATTTCTCATTTTGTCTGTATGAAATTTTAGTTTGTACTGACTTCACTAGTGCTTTTTTATGTAAAATTAAGCAAATATCTAGATGAGTTGATGTACCCCTTGGAAGATCTCTGAGTTGATTACCACTGGCCTAGTGGATAGGGGGAAGCTGTAGTTGTGATTTTAGTAAGGCTTCTGACACACGCACACATGACATTCTCTTAAGCCAATTACAGAAATGTGGTCTAGATGAAATTACTACAGGTGGGTGCATAACTGGTTGAAAGACCACACTCAAAGAGTAGTTATCAATGGTTTCCCGTCAAACCGGGAGGATGTATTTAGTGGGGTCCCACAGGGATCTGTCCTGGGTCCAGCACTATTCAATATTTTCATTAATGACTTGGATAATGGAGAGCATACTTATACAATTTGTCGATGACACCAAGCTCAGAGGGACTGCAAACATTGGAAGACAGGATTAGAATTCAAACTTGACAAATTGGAGAACTGGTTTTAAATCAACAAGATGAAATTCAGAGATAAGAGCAAATTTCTACACTTAGGAAGGAGAAATCAAATGCACAACTACAAAATGGGATGGGAAGAGGCAGAGTGGGAGTGGGAGCCTAGGGGAAGGGGGTGGGGCTGGGGGCAGAGCGGGGGTTAAGCAGCCCCGGGGCCCAGAAGAAGCTGGCGCCCGTGAACACTGTGACATCAGTGACAAATCAGCCACTCCTCACTCCCTCCCCTCCAGTTAATTTACATATTTGGGGAGAGTCACTATTGCCCTGGATGTCATAGCAATTGATGCCTTTGGTAACTCATTTAACTGAGTCTGCCAGATAGCATGATTACAAAGAAGGATCACAGGAGGAAACGTAATGAAAGTATGATAGATATTGCAACTGCTTGCAATCTCGTTGGGGACCATATTGTATTAAGGGCATGAATGGTGTATGAATGTTGGGGCGGGGCGGAGAGGGTGGGGGAGAGGGAAGAAAAGGGATTCCACAGTTCCGCCAGGAGCTAAGAACAGTGGGGGGGTGATTCAAATTAATACTCAGGTTGTAAACCCCCACAAAGAGGTACCAGCCCCTGGGGAGGCTTGCATATATGGGATTTTTCCAGAGACCAACAGCCAAAGAAAGGGCTTTTGGTCATAAAAAGGGTGCATTTAAGCCTGCTCAGGGCCTTCTTTCTCATCGAGCAAACAGAGGGGACCTCCTGTACAAGGTCCCACACACAGAAAGGTTGGAAAGACTTTGGCCTACAAGGCCCCCATAAGATTGATGGGTGACCTCTGGTAAGCTTTTGCATGCCTGTAGGTTCTTTTGTGGTTTTTATATTTTCTTCTCTGTAATGAACATAAGAACATAAGAGTGGCCATATTGGGTCAGACCAGAGGTCCATCTAGCCCAGCATCCTGTCTTCCAACAGTGGCCAATGCCAGATGCCTCAGGGGGAATGAACACAACAGGTAATCATCAAGTGATCCATACTTCAGTGTAAATGTTGCTAGGCCTTTGAGAAAACGCTTGGTGATTGGATGCACAAAAATGGATAAGTCGTCCACCTTGTGGAGGAATGCTGTGATAGCGAGAGGTACACCCTGACTGAGCTCATGGAGAGGCCCAATTTCTTAAGTTCCAGCAAGTAGTTCAGTATCAGAGGTAACGAGGAAGAGATTGCTGTGATCGGTTTATTTTGGCACCAGGTATTGTATCGTCTCTATTTGTATAGCTATATGTGACAGGTGGTTGTTCTACGACTATTTAATAAAATGTTTTGTACTTCCTCTGAGCATGTCATTTCAGGTCCTCAGAGCCGTGGAATAACCATGCCTTAAGATAGAGTCTTTCTAAGTCTGGGTGAAGGATATGGCCTGCGTCCTGAGAAAGGAGACGAGGTAGAAGAGGAAGAGTGCGTGGTTGGCACACCACCATTCTGAGACGGTAAGGGAACCACATTTGTCGAGGCAACATGGGGTCTATCAGGATGACTTTGGACTTGTCCAATCTGATCTTGTGATTCTGAAAGATGTGGGGGTCTCGGGCCCTCAATCAAAGTCTCAAAATTGCTGCCTTGAGGTTGGTTGTTGAGATGTAGCAGGCTGAGGTGGAGGCTATCTCCTCCTCGTGGATCTATTGTCTGTGTGGTTGCATGTAGTGAATGGACCGGAAACTCTGTGAGGCATAATATCTGCCCTGCCTTTTCTTGATCTTAGGTGTATAAATGCCCAGGGACTTCAACGTTGCCCTTGAGTCCTTGAGTGTGTGGAGGGACTCATCTGTTTTGGCTGCAAAGAGTTTAGGCCCTTCGAATGGAAGATCTTCAACTGTCGATTGCACCTCTCAGGGGACCCCAGAGAGATGCAACGAAGATGCCCTTCTCATCACTACCACAGTGGTTGCAGACCTTGCTGCTGTGTCTGCGGAGTCCAGGGCATCCTGCAATGCTGTCCTGGCTATAAGGTGTCCTTCCAAGATAATGGACATGAACTGCTCTCTTTTCTTCTCGGGAATAAAAAAATCAATAAAGTCGGATAGCTTTGAATAATTAGTATGGTCATGTTTGGCAACTAATGCCTCGAAATTGGTGATCCTAACATGTAGAGTCGCCAAGAAATAGGCCTTACAGCCAAAGAGGTCAAGCCTCTTCCAATCTCTATTATAAGGTGTGTTTTTGTGGTGTTGTTGTCTGCCCCATTCATTAACTGCATCCACCACCAAGGAATTCGGTGTGGGGTGCGAGAAGAGGAACCCCATTCTCTTTGCCAGCACATAATATTTTTTGTCAGAGCTCTTGCACATGGGTGGGATTGTTGCTGAGTTCTGCCAAATTGACTTAACTGATTCCATAATCGGGTCATTTGTGGGTAGAGCGATTTTGGAACACGTTGATGTCTGTAAGCTGTCTAGGAGTTTATATTGCGCTTCCTGGACTTCTTCCAGTAAAACGTCCAATGAGCTCGCAACTCTCGTCAAGGTCTTGAAATTGTTTGCAATCATCTCCGTATTGGAAGGTGGGGCATGATAGTGTCGTTGGGGGAAGATGATGAAAAGTGGGCTGCTTGTGCCATCTCCTGCTCAGAGATCTCATCCTCCTCTTCAGCCACCTTTTCTGGAAGCTCAGATGTTCCCAGTACCAAAGGTGAGGGTGAATGACGCACGTTCAACCTGGGTGGGCTGGGAGATTTGTGGTATTGTGGGGGGTATGCTGCCCATCAGCTCCAATAAGTCCATTGTAGTGGAAAAGGCATCAGTGGTATCTATGGGTGCCCATACCAGTGCCAATCTTTGGGTTCAGTATAATATCCCCTTTGCGGCAGTTGATCTGGGCTGGTAGGCGTGCAGATGGGAGAAGAATGGTGTGAAGATTATATTTCCCCTTCGTCCTCATCCTCATCACTCGAGAACGGGGGAGCAGATCGAGGTAGAGTGGTGAGGTGGTCCAGTACCAAACATGCCTGAGTGACATTGGCGCTGAGAATAGGAGATTCTGGCATTGAGGTGATCATTAGGTCCTTCTGGTGCAGGAATTGCTGTGGTGCCGGTAGCATCAGGGCCTTTGAAGGTGTAGCAGTCAGTACCGACTGTTGCAGCATGATTGACAGTGTTGATGCGTGCACCGATTGCATTATACCAACAGAAGGTTGCACCATGGTCTGCAGCGGTGCCGAGCCGCTCAGCGTCAGGTGTCTAATCAGCTCCGTCGGTGCCAAAGCATGGGGTTTCAGTTTTCCCTTACTGCCCATGTCAGAACAAGCCTGCTTGGAGTCTTTTGCTCTTTTGGTACCCACGGTACCAGAGGGTTCCACTACTTCAGCCATGGAGAAGGCCAGTGCACTTGGTACCAATCGGGTCTGCTAGTTTGGGGAACACCATTTTTTGGCAGATTCCCGAGCCGGGGAAGTTCTGGCCCACTTTTTGCCACCTTCTTAGTGGGATGATCTTTAGTCTGAGCCATGGAGGAAGGATCGCTGACAGGTGGGGTCTGTGCTTCAGGCTCAGTTGCCGGCTGGAGAGACTTCTCCGTGAGGCGGACTTGAAAATTGTAGGTCTCTCGCTTTCCTGATCCAGGTTTTTAGGTTGTGGCACTGTGAGCATTTTTGAGGTATGTGTGTCTCACCGAGGCAGTGAACACACTGCGAGTGCCTGTCAGACACAGGTACTGAAAGTCTGCAGGTGAGTCAGCGCTTAAACCCAGGGAACCGGGGATGCCCCTCAGAGGAGTGTTTCCCCCCGTAAGGGGAAAAACTAATACAGGTCTGTCTCATCTTATGCTGGGGTTACGTTCCCGGTCAGCGCGTAAAGCGAAAACCAAGTATAGTCAAAATTACATTGAGTTCAATGGCGGGCGGAATCGCCCACACTACAGGTACAGTATTAAAATTGTCATTTTTCTCTTTTTTTTGTTTGTTGTTTTGTTTTTGCCAACTGCGGAAAGCTGAAATCGCACATGTTAAATGTGCGTAAGATGCGACAGACCTGTAGTCTACTCTAACAGTTAACAATGGAAACCTAAACTTCCGGTCTGAAGAAAAAACAATATTTTTGAGAGAGAAAATAAATTTAATGGGGAAGAAGAGGAGAAAATAATTAACTATAAAGAGCAAAAATTAAATCTAACTAGTGAAAACTATGGTAATAAGACTAGGCACAGAGGTGCTGCTAGATGCTCTGACTCAAGCCAAAGGCAGTAGAAAAGGAACTGAGAGGGAGTTGGTCGCACAGCGCCAGATAACCACCTGAGGCGGCGCAAGACGGGGACCGTGCATGTGCGACCCAAACAGGCACTGCTACTATAAATCTCCGATTACATGCACAGGGGCACACGAACACCTAAAGTGAAGCACCCCTAGGGACACTCCTCGAAGAAGAACCTCAAGGTACGCTCCTTCCACAAAACCAGAAGGGATTAAGGCAACTTTTCTCTGTGTTTTAACCAGAACACTACTTTGTTTGTTTTTTAATTATGAATGAACCACCCCACTGGAAGAGCATCTAAATCAGGGACCATGTGTATGGTCCACTATTGATCAGATTAGTCTGCCTATAAACACAGTTCCCTCTCCTGACACATAAATAGCAACAAGGAATATCTTGAAGGACATAAAACAGTTAATTTAAAATGGAAGTAAATACTCACCTAAGGATAAATTCATGAACCCCTGGACTAAAGCTTTCAGAATCTAAAAGAATTCCCAAAACAGTGAGAGAGATAACACCAGACATTCCAACCCATTCAGCTAAAGAGAAGAAAAACAAGTACATTAAAACCCATTTAATTTACTGTAGGTGACAAACTATATTTTAATTCATGATTAGACATGCCTACTTAAAATAATTACTTTAAGTTTGCTTTTGGGGGAACTTTTTAAATGTGTTATTTGTACTATCGTTGGAGAAAATATTAAAATAAGTTTTGGCAATATAATTAAAAAGAGAAACATAATTCCTTTAAATTCTTCCTTTTCTTGTTATTGGTTCCTACGCTGGTAGGTTCCTAAATCAAGTATTTCTCTTGCGTTTTTTTAACTATGCTAAAACTACCCAGGCTAGTTTGTTTGGTTTCTTGCTTCAGCACTAGCCTTAAAAGTGATATCATCGTAGGTCTGGAAATAAATAATATATATTTAGTTGAAACAACTGAGCTATTAAGGGACATATTACATTTTGATTTCCCACTAGTCTAAAAAATTTTTCTCTCCCCCTCACTCTAATTTTTCAGCAGCAGAGTACTGATTTGAAAAGAAGAAAATAAACTGTAACTCTATAACCAGTATTGTCAAAAAACTTATGTAATCTCTTTGATTTAATTTTTTAGGCAACCCTAACACTCAAATCAGTCAAGCTATGCTCAGATCAAGACAGAGCACATCTGACCCTCTGGGAACTTTCCCTCTCTTATAGGAAGTTACATGGCTGCCTACCAGTGGCAGTATCCACATACTTATTGAAATCCAGGAGGACAATAATTTCCAAGGACTTCAGCAGAAGTATTGACATCAGTTCAGAGAACTCAGAGGTAAAATCCCACAAATAACTCTTGTGGTCTATACACTAGAAGAAATAAAAATGTTGGTCCTGCTGCAGACTCACAAGAGACACCTACACACTTGAATAAACAGAGATTGGCCACTTTTTGTATTATAATCAGGCTAAAAAAGTAAACCTTTCGCTAATTCCTCCTGTCTGAGGGCTTATCTTCAGTGCAGTGTTAGTTCAAGATATATTGCTCCTGACCTGACTTGCTTGCACACACACAAAAATCTCTAGCTCAAGTTAAGTGGTGCTTTAAACTCATGCTAGGTGATCTGTCAAGGAATGGGAGGTGAAGCTTGAGTGCTGATGAAGCTTCAGCTAATAATGCAGCAGGGACTCTGCTTCTGTGCTGCTAATCCAGTCTGTGCTATTCAAGTGTTGTTTTTTAGCATGACTGCTCTCATTAAGCTAGGATAACTTAAGAACAAGAATTCTGTTTCATGAAAAAATTCAGCATTTGGTTTGTTCTGCCTTCAGACAAAACAGAGACCTTACAAAAAAAAATTCACAAAGAGAGAGAGAACCCCCTAGAACAGCTAATAGCCCAGTAGTTAGGGCATTGAGCAGGGAAATGGGAAACCCAGGTTCAAGTCTCTCCTCTGCCTGATTTAGAGCAGGGACATGAACCCTGCGACTCCCACCTTCTAAGTAAGACTATTGACTGCGTGTGTTCTCTCGCTCGCTCTCTTCCCGATGCCAAGCCCCATCTTCCTCCTTCCCCAACTAGAAATTCCAACCTGGACCTCAGAAACCTTCCTGGTGAAAATGTAATCTAAACTGATGTGTTTCTGCAACATGTTTTGATGAATCAGCACTTTCCAATGAAAAAACATTTAGTTGAAAAGTCCTGACCAGCTCTAGTTCACTCAAGGATAGATAACTCGAGTTAACACTGTAGTAAAGACAAAACCTGAGACTCATAGATTACCATATAGCTGCCAGAATCTGCCATAACAAAAATGGGTCTACAACTTTGTTCAAACGGGTTTTAGCAATACATACCAAATCCAGAGAACATTTCATATCATTGTGGACAGTTTTGGCTTTGTTCACAATGCATCAGGCATTACCCTCCCAAAATCTCAGGCACAAGAAATATGTACCCATTCCTATGGAGCTTCCCAAGAATGAATTAGGACCAAGCAGAATTGATGAAGGACCCTAAGCTAAACAACTTCTGCCATTTAAGTTTCATCTTATAGATAATTGCCAAGCCTGGCAGCTCAGCTCTCTCACTCACCCAATTCACATAACGATTAAAAAAAAAAAAACAGCAAGGGAAGTTCTCACTATAACCTTCCAAAACACACAAACCGGGCACACACACAAAAAATATACAGACCTATCAGAGTAAAGGGACCTGTCATTATCTCCCTACGACATCTTTATTTTTAAAAAGTATACAAAAAGAATTTAATTTTCATCACAGTACTCACATATAGCAACAAAATAAAATTTAAACACAAAAAAACAAAAAATTCAGATACTCTGAAAATCTTATCACTGCCAGATTCCTGTTTAGGTACAAACACCCCTTCCCTTTCAGTTAAAAGAGAAGGTTACTCACCCTGTGCAGTAACTGAGATTCTTCAAGATGGCTCTCCCTGTGGGTGCTCCACTTTAGGTGAATCTTTGTCCCTGCACCTGCGATCGGAGAATTTCTGTCACAGTGCCTGCTGGGTCAAACATGTGCTGTCCCCATCCCAGGCCACCTCTGGGGGATACATAGCACTGTGTGACCAACACGCCATCTGCCTCCCCCCCCCCCCGGTTCCTTCTCTACTGCAGTCTTTAGTGTGAAACCTCCAAAGTAGAGGGGAGGTGGGAGGGTAGTGGAGTACTCAAAGGTACAACCATCTTGAAGAACTTCAGTTACTACACAGGGTGAGTAACCTTCTCTTCTTCTTCAAGAAGTGACCCTGTGGGTGCTCCACTTTAGGTGATTGTAGAGCAGTGCCCCTCAGTGGAAGGAAGGGGCTTTGGAGTTGCAGTCATGACGGATGATAAAACCATAAGTTCAAATAGAGCGTCTGATGACGAGTCCTGCTCCCTGACGTAATGCTGTGAACATATGGGCTGACGGCCAGGTTGCTGCTTTGCAGATTTCCATAAAGGGCACATTGTTGAGGAAGCTATCGATGTAGAGTGTGCTATGGTGGAGTGTGTGTGGGTCCCTGATGGGGGTGATAGTTGCTGATGGCGATAGCAAAGGTCAGTGCAGCCAGAGATCCACTTCAACAGTCTTTGTTTGTATATGGCGTCTCCCTTAGATTATTCTGTGATGGAAAGAAATAACTTGGGGTATGTCTACACTACGAGAGTACTTCGATGTCACTTAAATCGAATATGTGGAATCGATATTACAAAGTCGAACGTGTGTTTCCACACTAAGGACAGTAATTCGACTTTGTGAGTCCACACTAACGGGGCAAGCGTCGACATTGGAAGTGGTGCACTGTGGGCAGCTATCCCACAGTTCCCGCAGTCCCCGCTGCCCATTGGAATTCTGAGTCGAGCCCCTAATGCCTGCTGGGGGAAAAAATGTGTCGAGGGTGGTTTTGGGTAACTGTCGTCATCCAACCGTCACTCCCGCCCTCCCTCCCTGAAAGCGCCGGCGGGCAATCAGTTCGCGCACTTTTCTGCTGAGTGACAGCGCGGGTGCCACAGTACTGTGAGCATGGAGCCCGCTGCAGTTATGGCCGTTGTCAACACCTCGCACCTTATCAGCCACCTTTTCCAGAGGCAGATGGTGAGAAATCGGGCGAGGAGGCTATGGCAGCGCGATGAGGACATGAAGTCTGAGAGTGGCACAGACCTGTCACAAAGCACGGGACCCCGCGCCGTGGACATCATGGTGGTAATGGGTCAC